TCAAAATGGGTACATGATTTAGACATAAAGGGTAACACCATAAACAAATTAGGAAAGCAAGGAATATAGTTTATCTGTCAGATTTATGGAGAAGGGAAGAATTTATGACCAAACAAGAGATAGAGAATATTATGAAATGCAAAAATGGATAATTTTTATTATATTAAATTGAAAAGTTTTTGCACAAACAAAGCCAATGCAACTAAGATTAGAAGAGAAGCAGAAAGCTGGGAAAACAATTTTTACTGCCAGTGTCTCCGATAAAGGTCTCCCTCATTTCTAAAATACATAGAGAACTGAGTCAAGTCATTCCCCAACTGATAGTCAAAGGATATGAATAGGCAGTTTTCAGATAAAGAAATGAAAGTTACCCACAGTCATACAAAAATGCTCTAAATCACTATTGATTAGAGAAATGCAAATTAAAACAACTCTGATGTGCCACCTCACATCTATCAGATTGACTAATATGACAAAAAGAGAATATGATAAATGTTGCAGAAGATGTGGGAAAACTGGAACACTAATGCATTGTTGGTGGAATTGTAAACTGATCCAACCATTCTGGAGAACAATTTGGAATTATAGCCCCACAGGGCTATAAAACTGTGCATACCCTTTGATTCAGCAATACCACTGCTAGGTCTGCATCCTAAAGAAATCATAAAAAGGGGAAAGACCCACATGTTTATAATATTTATAGCAGCTCTTTTTGTGATGGCAAAGAATTGGAATTTGAGGAGATGCACATCAATTAGGGAATGGCTGAACAAGTTGTGGTACATGAATGTAATGGAATACTATTGTTCTGTAAGAAATGATGAGTAGGCAGATTTCAGAAAAACCTGAAAGGTCTTACAGGAACTGATGCTGAGTGAAGTGAACAGAACCAGGAGAACATTGAACACAATAACAGTAATGCCATGCGATGACCAACTTTGACAGACTTAGTTCTTCTCAGCAATACAATGATCTAAGACAATTCCAAAACTCATGATGGAAAATGCTATCCACATCCAGAAAAAAGAACTGTCTGAATGCACACTAGTTTCTCTTTTTTTTCTTTCTTGTGGTTTTTCCCTTTTGTTCTGATTCTTCCTTCATAACATCATTAATGTGGAAAGATGTCTAGTAGGATTGTACATGTATAGTCTATATCAGATTGCATGCCATCTTAGGGAGGGGGGAAGAAGAAGAGAAGGGGGGAAATTTCGAACTCAGAACTTTATAAAAGTGAATGTTGTAAACTATCTTTACACGTAATTGGAAAAAATAAAATACCATTGGGGGAAAGAATATATGTTAATCTACATATGGGAAAATCTGAGAGAGGACAATTCAACTGTCAAATCAAAGTATTATTAATTTCACTGCAGAAACACACTAAACACGGAAAATGACAAATAAATGATAAATTCATAATTAAATGTTCATCAACAGAATAATTTCCTTTCCTAACCAAAGAAAGATAACTGAGGCTTGCTATAGACTTTTTTAAAAGGACAATGTCTTCCCATTTTTTTTAATTAAGGAGTTGTCACCTCCTATCTAGACTAAAAAAAGGTGTTATGAATGATTTTTACTTTGAGAAGAAAATAAAATGCTGAAAACACCAAGCCAAAATAGCTTTATGACAAATTCTCTTCTTTTTTTAAACATAAAATTCATTTTCTGATACATCAACCAAAAAATGTGAGGGAAAGACCCTCCATCTCAACCACTGTAAATATTTTCATTTTAACTGCTTTTCTACTTGCTTAAAATCTACAAATTTCTCTAAATTACTGCTGGACTTGAAAAGGATGAAAGTTAAATTTTAAAAATGTAAGCAGTAAACACAACCACTATAAAATCTGAGGATCAGTTAACAAAGTATGAGGCTAGATGAGAATTATAAAAGAAATACAAAATATAATTCCTGTCCTAAAAGAGCTTACAATCTAGCTGGAGAAAAACAAAACTATAAGAGCAGCAAAGTTTCAAGATAGCCATTATCGAATGCTAAATTTTAATGTGGGCGATTAGTGCTGACAGAAAAAGGGGAGATCAGTGAAGGTTTTGATACTGGAGAGGGTGGGCCATGATCTGAGAGGGAAAAATTGGGTAACTCTATAGGAGAGATAGGCGTTCTGAAAAAGGGGAGACTATGAGTAAAAGTACAGAGGTTAGGAGGGATCCTAACAACATGGCACTGTGGTGGCATGATGAGATAAACCTAACAAAAGTCCTGAGTATGTGATCTGGAACATAAAACCGGACTATAAATGCCCTTGAAAGCCATTCTGAGTTGTTTAAGACTCTATGCAGTAGAAAACAGGGAGCTAATTAAAACCAATTGTTGGAATAGTTCGAGTAAAAAAAGATTTGTTTCATGTCTTTTGTCCAAGTTGTATTAGCTTATCAGTATTCTTGCTGAGTCTTCTCCCCACCAAGTCTATTTTTAAATTTATGTTTCCCAAGCCCTTGACACAATACCTTGCACATGAGTACATAATAAAAGTCTACTAAAAAGAAACGAATAACTGAGGCTATGATATGCAGATTTTTCTCTTACATAACCTGTATAATTCTACTTGTGATAACTACTGTAATTCTCTAGACCAGTTGTTGTCAAAACTTTTTGGTCCCAGGATATCTTTACATTCTTGACAAGTGTTGAGACCTCCCCAAAGAGCTTTTGTTTATGTGGGTTCCACATTAAAAATTAAAATATCTTAATACTATGAACATCATCCTGACCTCAGGGAGACCCTTGGGGAGACCATACTTTGAAAACTGCTATTCTAGACAATATTCAAAGCACACTAAATTGGGCTTTAATTAAACTCTATGTATTCATTTGTCTCTAAATTTGTGCTGAAACTGAAAGCCAACCAGTGGAAATTCACCTTTTAATTTTATTATTCTCTTTGAAAATCCAAGGACACAATAACTAGAAGGCTACAGAGCCAACAGAACTACTATACTTATTCTACAGTTCTTGAGTAGGAATGTCAGCATCTGAGCTGGCATCTGTCTATTTGGGGGCAATGTTGCCCGGACACTCAAATATGTGGTTAATTTCAGACATGTTAGATCAAATTATTTTCATTCACATCGGACACTTCAAAACTGCCAGTGGATATCGTTTTTAAAAAGTTATAGGTTCAATGGAGATAATCTCTTGCTAATGCCTCATATTCAACATTCTCAGGAGACTGCACTTAAATGCATATTGATATTTTTCAAAATAGCCATTATAAAGTTATTATTTCAGAAAATATTACACAAAAGATCCTAAAAATAATGCTTAAGGGTTAGAACTACCCCTACAACTGGTTCAAAACTTGTCTCTACATTTCTTTAATGAAAAGAATTTCCTTGTAAAGAAAATCTCCCGAAGGGGATCGCTATGAACCGAGGATGATCCCATAATCACTGTGAGATTCAATATCAAGTTCTATCCATACCGCTAAGTAACACAGCAAGGCTGCCAAACTTCAACTGCAACACGATGCAGAAATGATGTTGCATTCTTTAGTGACTTTGAGAAATCGGTTTTTATACAGCCCACCCTACAGAGCAGAATCCTGCAGTCTGCAACATGTTAACGCTTAATCACTTTGCTCTTAAATATATTTAATCAATTTCACAATGAGGCAAATTTCCCACCATATTAAAGGATCCTTGTCCCTCAAAATACTGAACAATCTGCAAATATTATGATTACCAAACATAACAAGGCCATTTCATTTTTCCTAACGGCATTTTATTGGCCTCCAGTGAAATGCCCATTAAAAGAAGACGAGTAATTCCTACATCTAAAGAAAGAAGATCAAGAAGTGTAATTCACAATTAACTAGAACAGGGAATGAAGTAATTAATTAATGTGGTCTATTTTACAGAGCAAATCTAAAACACTGTAAAGTAAAAATGTTCATGACTAACATCCCAAAATGTATTTTGGCAAGATATCCTCATGAAAACATTGAATATTCTTTTAAAATTCAATCTCATAAGACAGTAAGATGCCTCAATACACAAAACTACTAGGAAAAAAAGGGAGAAATTTTCACACACTATTACAATCTAATCCACAACATATTAATAGTACTGTTGCTAACGTGCTGGATTTTATTACAAGAATTCAAGAGATTTTATAACTGAAAGTACTCTCAGTTTGAGATCACGTTCAGTTTAAGAGAGAAGGGTTCCCTTTCTATTGGAAACACACCGGGGTACACAAAACAGAAGGGGAGCCAAGAAGCCAGGTCAGTACGTGCTTTATCGGTTAAGACAAGAAGAAAATGAAATTAAACCCCCCGTTTTTCTTCTCCAATGAAAGGAAGTTGACCTTCCCTCTTCCAGGAATGCTGATAAAAATGTCTCATCCCAGGGCCCTGGTCCAGGGTCTCCTCCCAGGGCGGTGTCTTGCGGGTGAAGGAGAGGGGGGGGACCGGAACCGCAGCGAGGAGGAACCCGGAAGGAAGAGGCCAGAACTCGGACAAAGCCGGACCGGCGCTGGCAGCCGGGCATCCCCCCTTCTCTCTCCTCTCCCAGGGCGGCCACAGCCCCGCGCCCCCCGCCCCTCCCATTCCGGGGCTCCAGGGTGGCCGCTGACGCTCGACCCCCCCCACCATGCGACCTACGCCAATGAGAAACACGCTACGGAAGGGGGCCCGGGCACTTGTCACCCAACAAGCCCCCTGCCCCCGCGTGCCGCCCCCTCCTCTGCGGCGCTGCGCCGTGCCCCCAGCCCCACCCCCACCCCGCAACCTCCCGCGGGGAATGCGGCGCCGCCGGCGCCCGGGCGGAGATGGAGATGAGGAGATTAAGCGGGGCTCCGCCCGGACCTCGCGGCCCCCCGGGAAGGACGAGGCTCTGTCACCCTTAAAGCTTCCGCAGGGAGAGGCGCCCCGACGAGGAGGAGGGAGAGGCGGGCAAGCCAGCCCCTCGGGCGGTCCGGGGCAGACGCCGGGCTCCGCGCCCGCAGCCCCCCGCCCGCCGCCGCCGCCACTCACCGTCCTGCTCCTGCGGTGACCGCGCTCCCCGCGGGCTGACAAGGAGGGAGGGGGGCTGGGGCCGCCCCGGGCCGCCGCCTAGATCCGCCGGCGCGGGGGCCGACGACGGGAGGCCTGGAGACAAAGGGCCGGCCGGCGGGGCCGCCAGTCCCCGAGCTCGGGAGCAGCCGTCAAGTCCCTCGAGGGCCCAGGGAGGGCTGCCGGGCGTCGGTCTGTCAGTCAGTCACCAGCGAGGGAGGCAGGGCCGGCCGCCGCCGCCCCGACACATCCTCGCCCGGGGCCCCCTCGCCTCCGGAGGCTCCCCCTGCCTGACCTGACTCGGCCAAACGGGTCCCGAGCGGCGAGCAGCCCGACCCGTCCCGAACCTCCGAGATCAGCGTCCCCGGCTCCCCAGTCAGCCGCCGAAAATGGCGTCGATACCCCTCCCCTCGCTCCGTTCTCCTCCCTCCGGCCCCAGAATGCCCCGCGACAGCCTCCCCGCCCCGCCTAGCCCTACCGATGATGTCATCGAGTCAGTCTCCTTCCAGCGCGCAGACGCCTTTGCGGAACAGGAGCCGGTCTCCGCTGAGCGGGGCTGGCCCCGGCTGCAGGACGAGGGGTAGCTGCAGGGCTGGAGGCCAGCCCTTAGCCCCTGGGACAGGGAGGTGGGGAGGTACGGCCACTGGCCGATAGACTGTCCCACTTGCTAGACGCGGCCTTGGAGGCGCATAGTGCAAGCCCCTTAGTTGACAGAGAAGGGAAAGGAGACGCCCAGAGAAAGAAAACGAGAGTCCCAGTGAGACAGCACTCGAACCCAAGTTTTCTGACTCCCAAGTCTAAGTCTCCCCAGGCCTGGCTTGGTCACGGAAGGGTGCCCCTGGGAGGTGGGATCGGGAAGCGTCCCCTCATGCTCCTCTTGTCACATTGTAGTGAAGCATCAGGGTGCAATGAAAGCAGTAGACTGAGAATTAGAGGACTCGAGTTCGAATCCCACCTCTCCTAACTGTGTGATCTTAGCCAAGGCACATTCATTGCTACTCTGTAAAGGGAGGCAGATGAACTAGATGACTTTCCAGTCTTCTTCCATCCCGTGTTCTAGCACGGAAAAAAAAAGTGTTCCAACTACCACACTACCCTTATGCTTTTTAGTCGCTTAATAAAAGTTGGTGAATACTAGTCTGGTGAAACACACTGGACCTCCAAGCCCCCCATCCCTGCGGTGGGTAATTGCCTCTGCCGAGAACGTCCTCCCTCTCCCCCATTACCCTTTGAGTTTTTATCAATTCTTTAAAAGTAAACTCACACCACCTCCTCCCGGAAGCCTTCCCTGATTGGATTTCCCCCTCTACTCCCAATCTTGCCTCCAGATCCTACCTGTAGTACTCTGTGATGCATCTCTTTAATGCACTTATGTGACAGCTGGGTATTATAGTTATCCATTGTCATTTCCCCTTACGAAATACTGTTACGTTCCATAAAGGGAAGGATCAGGTTCAATACAAATTTTGTAGCTCCCTCCAGTGCCTAGCACTGTGCACCGAAGTACTTGATGTTTTGGGTTTTTTTTTTTTTAATGAATGCATCAATCCCACCCTTCACTAAAAAGGTGGAGGACTGCAGGCCTCGGTTATCACATAAAATATGTATGTTTGTGTGTGTATACGTCCGATGAGCCTGACAAAAGATTTTAAAATCACTTCAAGCAAAACCAGCCAACGCAACTACTATTGACTGTATATGTACAAAACCAAATCAACCAATCAACACACCAACAGAGAGAGAGAGAGGAGAGAGAGAGAGAGAGAGAGAGAGAGAGAAGAAAGAGGAAAGAGAGAGAGAAGAGATAGAGAGGAGAGATAGAGGAGAGAGAAGAGAGAGGAGAGAAGAGAGAGAAGAGAGGAGAGAGAGAGGAGAGGAGAGAGAGAGGAGGAGAGGAGAGAGAGAGGAGAGAGAGAGAGGAGAAAGAGAGGGAGAGAGAGAGGAGAGAGAGAGAGGAGAAAGAGAGAAGAGAGGAGAGAGAGAGGAGGGGGTAGAGAGAGGAGAGAGAGAGAGAGAGAGAGAGAGAGAGAGAGAGAGAGAGAGAGAAGAGAGAGAGAAGAAGGAAAGAGGAAAGAGAGAGAGAAGAGATAGAGAGGAGAGATAGAGGAGAGAGAAGAGAGAGGAGAGAAGAGAGAGAAGAGAGGAGAGAGAGAGGAGGAGAGGAGAGAGAGAGGGGAGAGAGAGAGGAGAAAGAGAGGGAGAGAGAGAGAGGAGAGAGAGAGGAGAAAGAGAGAAGAGAGGAGAGAGAGAGGAGGGGGAGAGAGAGGAGAGAGAGAGGAGAGAGAGAGAGAGAGAGAGAGAGAGCCAGAGAGCCAGAGAGCCAATCCTGGTTGCGTTGGTCGGTTTTGCTTGAAGTGATTTTAAAATCTTTGTCATGAAGAGAAGGCTCGCTGAGTGGGAAAGGATACGAATATATTTCTATATTCGGCAATAAAGATGTAAAATAAAAGATATCAACAAAATTAAGAGTATTCGAGGCATCAATTCAAAAACATTTGTTGAATAAATTGTTCCCCCACCCTACCTCTTTCTCCTTTCCCCCTTCCACTGCGTGCTTCTAGCAAAACTCATTTCCTGGGCTGGGCAGGGCTGCGCTGCGCCTCCTCCCAGTCCCCCGGTCATCCCCCCGCCTACCCTCTAGTCTGTTTTTAAAGTCCACTGGTCCAGGTGACCCTGCATGGGAGAGACACGTGCCTTCGCAGTGGCAGAGGACAGAGCTGCCTGCGCTGGCACCTACTGAGCTCCAGCCCGGAGGCAGTGTCTGACGCGCACGCACACGCCGGGCCGAGCTCCCCACTGGTCAGGGCACCCCACCTCCATCCCCGTCACCACGTGCGCACTTGCCAGGCGGCCTTGGGAAGCTGGATGCTCCCAGGCCCAGATTCTGCGCTGGCTGGGGAGAGGGCGTTTGCATCACTAAAGGGGACATAGCGGTTGTTTGCCTGAATAGTAGAGAAAACAGCACACCAGGAAATGGAAAAGGGCGTACTGCTCACTTTTGCCACCGTGACAGCCAAGAGAAAGGAGGAGGGTTTAGATTGTGCCAAATGCTTCTCAAGGGCCGTAGCTGGAGGCGTCTATTATTTATTTATTTATCTGATGAAAATCTTTTGTCCCTCAAGATTCCTCCATGCAGTGAAGATAGCTGGCTGGCATCAGTCATTAAAACCGAATTCTAAGCACTGAGTCACGACTGCAGAAGCCCTTCTAGTCCCAAAATAAAGTGGCGTTTCCATGGGTTTCATACCGACCATCACCCTTTGTTCCTAACCGTGTGTGCAGATTTCTTTTTTTTTCTGAGACCGTGTTGCTTGCTCCTATTCGTCGATGTAGGTGCCTGTGCTTGGCCATTTCTGTGTGTTGCTGAATGTCGGTTGTGTAGTTTCCTTGCCTGTTGGTCTGTTCCTATATGTGTCTTGTGCCTGTGCATCTGTGTGTGTAGCTGAGTCTGTGTGCCGTATCTATGTAGGTGTCTTTGTGTCTCCTTAGCACTAATCTGTTGCCCTAGAGACCACAAGGGAAGAGTACAAAAGAAAGTCTCTGCTCTCTCCCTGCCATTTCAATAAGGAGAGGAGGAAGGGAAAGCTTGGATAGAAGGCACTTCAAACACCTTTGGAGAGGTCAGAGAGCGGGAAGAACCGAGGAGATAGAGGCTTGGCCACCATTTTATTTAAGTAACGTGCAGTATGTGATGCTTTGCAGGACCTTTTTTTCTTTTAACCACTCCTTTTTTGTTCTGGAGTTGAAGCACCCACCAATGAGCACCTAACTTCAAATGTAGATTTTAAGATTCATTCATACACACCCCTACCTGCAATGAGCACCTAACTTCGAATATAAATGGATGCATTCAATCCTTCCCCAAAATATGTCTCTCCTGTGCTATGCTAATCAGGAAATCTGGATTCCACTTGTGATTCTACCTTGATCTTGAGGAGCTCAGACTAGAAGATAATCTCTGAGATCCCTTTCCAATCTTATAGTCTGATGTTCTCCCAGCTCTGATGTTCTGTAATTCTCATAGGTCTCCAGGCTTTGGGTTCACAAGGGACTAAATTCAATCTTGGGGGCAATCTCCCCACACCATAACTCTGTGTTTTCTTTGGCCCCACCCAGAGCTCCTTTCTGGGAATTTCAGAATATAGCTGGTGTCTAGTGAATCTAGCTGGTGAGTAATCATGCATAGCAGAGAGACTTTTTTCCTCCACAGTGGGGGAGAAAAAGGACTCACAGTAGCCTATAAACAGTCCCTCCTCTAATGTGGCTGCACCTTTCTTCCTCAGGTACCTAAATAGTCCTCCAGACTCACAGAGATACCCTGTAGTTTGAACTACCTAGAGGCATCCTGGTGTGATAGAGCACTTGAATCAGAATCAGAGACTCTGAGCAAGTCACTTAACCTCTTTGCCTCAGTTTCCTCATCTGTAAAATGAGGCATTTAGATTTAATGACCCTAAATCGATGATTCTATGGCTGTCCTAGGAAGAGAAAGAAATCATTAAAAGAATTAATCTCCCAACGTTTCTTTCCCAACCCCTGAGACTCAGACAAGTCTCCAAACTCACGGTAAAAGCCTGAGGGTTTGAATCTCTCTCAATAGGAAAACAAACTCAGGGTTACTAGAGAGATATTCCCCTTTCTACTAGACCTATGCCATCTGAATAACTCACAGTAATATTAAAGGGCAAAGTTCTTGAGTTTTGGTCCTCCATCCTATGACAGTCATCTCTTGAACTGTTGCCATCTCTTGAGCTAAGAGTTTCTGCAGCTGCCTCTCTATAGCTGACGTGGTGGGGGGAGGGGGGCAGAGGTTAAATCAGTTTATCATTTTGTCCCTGGAGGCTGTGCAGATGCACAAGCATCCCCTCTTTCAGGTCTCAGATCCATCCTCAGATCCCGCGGATAACTCCAAAAACGGGTTCTCTTTTATAGGCAGAAGACAAAGAGGTAGATCCGACCCACAATAACTCAACAAAATAGTTTCGTTACCTACTAAATCATTTCAATAACTGAAACTTGATCACTCATCTTCAATGAGGTGTGAGTCAATGGAGAAGTCTCTACCCTCCATCCAGGGAGGGCTCCCCTCCCTGTAACTATAGCTGCTTGAAAGAAGGACTTGCTTTTTGCCTTTCTTTACATACCCAGCCTTACTACAGTGCCTGTTTAATAAATAATAAATTATTTACTTGATTAATAATCCTATCTAGTTAAACTGAAGAACTCCCTTGACCAATTTGCTACAATTCTATAATTCTAAGTCCCCTTCCAGTCTGGAATTCTGAGTCTTATGATTCTAAGGGACTTCCAAATGGTGGCATTTGATGGTCCCTTGCGAGAGAATCACTCAGAGGTGCCTAGTCAAGAATAGCCTCAGCTAGCTAGGCAAGATCCCTCTCACCCATACATACTCAG